GATAGAATGAGATAGTAAATGTGAAAATATTAGGAAAGTACATGACATATAGTAGATGCAAATTAAATATTACTTTTCTTCCTAATTTTCTAAAGCTGTAATTTAGGGTATTCCAGTCACCAATTAAACTAAATAAAAAAATATTATTCCTTGTTTACTTTGATGTTGCAAACACATAGTCCTATAATAATCATCATCTTCTCTAAAAGTAAACGCCAAAAATGAACAGTCCTACCCTATTTAGTTAATAGAAATGCTTGGCTTGACAACAGATTACTAATGACTCCTTTTGTATAACCCATATTTTTCTGTGCCACGTGTCACTAGCTTGGTCCTGCACGGATATATATGTAGTTGTTAAGAATAAGACTCAGTGCTTAGATTCCCTGGATTCTAATCATATCTTTGATGCTCAATTAACTATCACATGTTTCTGTAACTCAATTTCCACATCTTCAAAATGGAACCAGTATTAGTATTTTCCTCATAGATGGCTGTGAGAATTAAATGATTTGGTCAGGCACAGGGTAGGAAATATAGTTAGTGTGTAGTTGATGTTTTGATGTTAACTTCTGTCATTATCATCAGCCTATAATCTTTGTTAGTATTACTGTTATTAATTATTTTTTATTGTCATAATTGGATCTCATCTAAAACTCACTACATTATTTATGAGTGCATCAAAAATAAAAAAAAAGAAAGAAATAAAGAAAAGAAAACACCAGAGTAGACTAAATTTTAGGCTAGATAACTTGTTATGATCTATGTAAATTACATGTTGATCTTAGAAATTTGAAGACACTGACTAAGTTGAAGGTGTTTCCTGACATTTATGTGGAGAGTAAGACTCCCAGTGAGGACATACCCATAAGGGTACATACCATTAAAGTTAGTCCACCCAGACAGAAAGGGTGATCTGGGACTGCAGCAGAAGCGAAATCATTTCATTTGCAGTTTAGACTTGGTAGTTCCAGAGTTAAAGATCATGGTGACCAAGTTATTGACAACTTCCAAGTGGCTTCCAGATTAGTCATCATCTAAATGAAGAAAAATACAGATAACATGGAGAATAAA